GGCTCGGCGGTCGGCGAGCCATCGAGCCAGGTAGGTGGATCCCCCCCGATAGGAACGTGCCATTTCTTTGGAGGGAGAGAGAAACACAGGTCCATTGGTCCAATTCTTTGAACAACCATCAATGAGAGAAACAGACCAGGAACCCATTAAAATAGGGATTCCCTTTGAGATACGTTCATTCTACCAGAGGTTGATGAAGTCAGCCACCATGGTTAACTGAAGGAGCTCCTAAAGGCTTTGGAGTGGAGTTGGAGGATGCTGGGTTATTCTGCCCTTCAGCCCCAATATCTTGTTGTGAGGATGCTAGATTGATGGAACAAGGGAAAGTGGATCGATTGCAAGTCTGACACTTGAGCCTGTAGTTCGCTAGGCATGGGATATTTTGGGCGCTCTTGAAAGTTACAGCGTTTGAGGCACCAATTCAGAGCAACGAACCTCCAGCGTTTACTCACCTAAGACGTGGGTTGCGCCATAACCTCCAGGTCATGCACACGGTTTGCCGTGGATTCCCCGACGTTTGCAGTGCGAAATCGCTTTTGGAGGGACGAACTCAAAGTTCTGAAGGCGGGAGATAAAGGAGGAAACGGGGAATCCCAAGAAGTGCGAAATCAGGAGGATGCTTAGAATCACGATCAGCTGGATCACAATTCCGAAATCTCAGGTTCGTCGTTTTTCGGCCCGTTGAAACCAATCCGTCAGCGGAGCTATACGTAGTCCGTGGTGCAGCGAGAGGGCGGGCTGCTCGGGGGCTTACAGATAGGGGTCGACCGGGACCATGAGCAGAGGAAACTCTGACTTGATGGGAGTGACCAGGATCAAACATATACCCAATCCATAAAACAGACAACCAGCTAAGTATGATGAGTATCTTTTTGTCTTGTCAAGACAGAGGCCGGACACATTTGACGTCGGACGTAGTTTTCTCTTGTCAAGACAGACAGGCCGGACACATTTGACGTCGGATGTAGCTTTCCCTTGTCAAGACAGACAGGCCGGACACATTTGACGTCGGACGTAGTTT